TGATGCCGCAGCAAAACTGCCCTGGTCGAAGTAGACCGTCAAACCCCAAAACCCTAAAGCCCCAAAAGCCAAAGCCCTAAGTCAGCCACGATGTGTCTGACGCAGAACTTGTAGCAGGAGTTGTAGAGGGCGTCAGGGCTCAATATCCGAAACACAACCTAGCAAAGGAACTCTGCAACCTCTCTCCCCTCACCACTGCCTCGATTGCAACCGGCAAGGAAGCTGCATGTGAGCTTCAACAAATCTGGCACCCTGACAAACACCTGAAAAAAAGGTGGGATAACGAATACAACTGGACCGCCAGCAAAACGATCTATAGTTTTAAATTTTAAAGAACCCCGACATCGGGACGACAGCTGCTTCTTTTGTGCCGCTGCATCCACATAGGCTCCTGTCACTCGAGCACGTCTGAGAGAAAGTTCATGATCCTGAGCCGACCAGGGCTTGGAAAGAGTAGCAAGGCCCCGGCCACAGATTCAAAGGAGCCTTCATTCACCTACGCCAGCAAGTATGCAATACCCCTGATGCAACAATACCTGTCGCAGAGCGTCTAAGCCCTGACTACAGCCTTCGAAAGCAAAGGAAGCCTTCAACACCCCATCGAATGGCCAAAGTCCTATAATCTAGCCCAAGCCGAAACCTGAAACTTTCCTGTAAAACCTTACATGACTCGCTGTCACTATACCCTAAACCCGAGAACCCTACAGCCCTAGACCCTAAACTCTGGATGGAACCTTCACTTCGGCACCTTTGGCATTCAAAGCACAAAGACCCAGAAGAAAAACAGCGGACATAAGGTTTGGTGTGTGTGTGTGTTGAGGGTTTCGGGGGGGCTCAAAACAGCGGCATGCGGGATGTCACTGAAGGGTTTCCGGGTGGATAGTGGGAGTCGGAGTTTATATGCAGCGAATGATGGCCAGGCAGCTGTGACTCGACCATCGCGCCTTCGAAACGGGCCTTCTCCTCAAGGACTGTGGAGCCGACTCGGGATAGTTTTGGGTTCGGTCGGTCGGTCGGTGGGTGGGGTGGGGTTGGGTTGATGGTTGCTGGTTGGTGGTTGGCGGTTGGTTGGTTGGTGGTTGGTAGTTGCTGGTTGCAGGTTGGTGGATGGCTTTTGATTGGTTGGTGGTTGGCGGGTGGTTGGCTGTTGGTTGTTGGTTGGTTGGCTGTTGGTTGTTGATTGTTGGCTGGTGGTTGGTTGTTCGGTTGGTTGGTTGGTTGGTTGGGTGGGTGGGTGGGTGGGTTGGTTGGGTTGGTTGGGTTGGGTGGTTGGTGGTTGGGTGGTTGGGTGGTTGGGTGGCGGGCTGTCTGGCTGGCTGGCTTGCTTGGGTGGGTGGTGTTTTGGGTTTACTGTGTCGGGTAGGTGTCACAACTACGGCGGATACCCATAACACCCCAATCCAAAGACGGTAAAGCCCCTGGCCTTAATCTAAAACCGCATGTTTGCACAAACTCCTGGCCGGTCTTGTCGAAAAGTATCACGGTCGGCAGGCCGCGGATTTGGAGCCTCTGCTTCGCTCGTTGTGAGGCTCACAGTGCTGCTTTCGAGCCTACAGTACCATACAACTTCTTGGGGGCCACAGACAGGAACGACACGGATCAAAGCTTGGTGCAGTCGACTGGGTGTTCGGACTCCTTGCAGGTCAACCAACAGACTTGTGAGCACGTGAAGCGAATGATTACAGAAATCGCGGATGCGCTGTCTCGTAAGTCCTTGCAGTCAGTAAATCTAGCGGATCTCACGTCTTCTAAGCGTCTGAAAAGACAGAGTGGGAGGTATAGATCGTCTCAGTAGTAGAAGCAACAACCGATCGAACCACCTCGAGCATGCCGCACATGGTACGCATGGTCCTTGTCTGCTTGACCTCCCGGCAACTGGTGCAAAGCCAGATCGCTCGAGCGACATGTCTGACGCGAAAGGCGAAAACTCGGCACACACTGCCCATGAAATTGTAATGTCGTTGCTTTTCTGATCTGAGGAGTCCGAGTTTTCGATGGTGAAAGGGAGCCTTGCCGAAGAAGTTGGGAGAGGAATGAAAGGCAAATGTTGAAGAGATGCTGATGAGCAGCTGCAGCTGTAACGACAGCAACGCCCTGACGTCTAACCAAGGCAAGCTTCTGATCTGACACCTCGCTCTGTTCGTCGGAATCTAACTTGGCCATCAGCACCTCTCAGGGTACACTCTTGACAAAATACCTAAATCCCAAGCACCAAACCTCTGAACAAACAAACTCCCCGAATCGAAGTCGCACTCTTTGTTACCTCTGTAGAGCACTTTGAAGACGCGCTTAAAGCCTTAATGGACCTCCACCTTCTCCCCCCCCGAAACCCTAAACCCTATAAACCCTATAAACCCTAAACCCTGAAACCTAAACCCTTTAAACCCTAAACCCTATTAACCCTATAAACCCTATAAACCCTAAACCCTAAACCCCCTAAACCCTAAACCCTATAAGCCCTAAACCCTATAATCCCTAAACCCAACCCTAAACCCGTTAAACTATAAACCCTATAAACCCTAAACCCCCCGCCCCCCCTGCCCCGCTAGGATCGGAGCCGCCTTGCTACCCGCTCTGACAGCTGCCTTTCCCATCTCTGGCTCCATAAACCTCTTAGGGTCTTTTTTAGGCTAAGAGGGATCTTAGGGTCTCTTTCTAGCCAAGAGGTTTAGGATCTTAGGGTCTTCGTAGCTAAGAAGTTTCAGGATCTAGGTGATTTAGGGTTTCTTAGAGTCTTTTTGGGCTAAGAGGTTTCAGGATTTGGGGTTTCGGGGTGTCGGATACCGAGTTTCGGGTTTCGGTTTCGTTGTTTTCGGAGGGCGGGTTAGGGCTTCGGATCCGGATTTAAGGGGTCCGTTGTCGCCGCTCACACTCGGAAAATCCAGTTCAGGCATTGTTATTTTAGGGTGTGGGGTCTAGGGCCTAGGGCCTGCAGGATGGTAACCATAAATCTTTGAGCCCAGAACCCTCCATGAAGATTTCGGGGCTCGCTTGCAAAGGCCCCTTGGCCTTGTACCTACGCAGCTAGTCCCCAAGAACATGCCAACGCGCAGGGCTTGAAGGAACGGAGAGCTGCTGAGTTGATGACTTCTCTTTATGTTTCAACTTGAAAGCTTGGCTGTTCTTGTCTAGAGCCACTCGGCTTCCGAGCGCCAGGGCTTTTGCCTGGGCAGAATCCTGATGCTACGACTGTCTTGGTATTCGCCATGTGTGCATGGCAACTGAAGTACTACGGCGATTACAAGTCGAAGGTGCGGACAGGCCTGGCTGTGGCTGCACGAATACCACACACCGTTTCACATTCATATTCATCGCCAGCCGCTCTGAACCAAGGAAAATCAGCTTGGAACTGAAGTAGTTTTTGCAAACCGACGTCCCTACTCCCAGCAAGCTGAGGTCAAAGCTTGCATGGCCCACACCAGGTAGCATACCTCGCTAGATGCTGTGGAAGAGCAGACTTGGGTGAAATGTGAACAAATATGTAGGTATCTAGTACGATCAGCAGTTTCAGCTTCTGGAAGGATGCTCCCAACGACGCAGTTCCAGGGTATTCAACGTCAAACAGGGTGAGTCCAGTCTTGCACCTGATTGTTCATCAGCCCTGCAGAATTCAGGCTCCTTCACTCAAATGCCGCAACCCCAGCGGCCCAAGTCGCTTCAAGCCGAATCCTAAACCTTCCCAGGTCCCCCGAACCCTCAATCCTAAACTCTTACGGGTCCTAAACCGTGACAAGCCGAGTCAAGGCTTTAAAGTCTCTGAAGCTTTACACATTCTTCGCTTCTTCGACGAACCTCTCCCCAACGCCGGCATTCAAAACTCTAAACCCTAAACATGACGGAAACTCGGAGTTCAGCTGCGGCCCTTCAGACCCCGGAGCTCAGCCCTCGATCCAGAGGTCAACTCAGCGCATCAATATAGTCCATGTTATGACACAAATGTAATACAGGATAAAAGTACAAGCCATGAAGCAATACAGCAATATAAATTATACATAGATACATACATGTGATCTGATGCAATCGTGGATAATACATTATACAAATCTGTTCTGTCCGTTCGAACAAACATTCCCCGCCTCCCTCCCCTGCCCCTATGTCGTAGCGAGGCACACATCCAGCAGAAGTGGCGCCGAAGGCGACGCAAGGATTTCGCCTCCAACCCCATGGCTTTGTATGCAGTTGCAATACCCAGGACTAAGCCCGAAGCCCTCGGTACCAGTGGAATTGTGACTGCAGTCGCTCAGTCGTCGTAGTGGTCGCCGGTGCCACCGTCAGAAGCATGTAGCAACCGTAGACCGTAGACAATACCATCCACCACCATCATCAACATCAGCACCGCCGTCATCATCATCAACACCATCATCATTCTTATCACCGTCGCCATCGTCCATTTCTCGTTATGTCATTGACACCGTCTGAAGGACTCAAGGACCAGAGTCCGCAGCTGCATTCTCTGAACTAGACAGTGCGGTGCCAGTGCACGTCCCTCTCTTGATGAAAAAGTGAGGCTTTTGCGTTCTTGCACCTCCAGCGCTTTTTTCAACCACGAGATGATTCGGTTGGTTAAGTCGCACGGCCACGCTGGTGCGCGGAACAAGCACGGCCGAGAGATGGAGAGGATCAGTTCCACCCGTCCACCAGGTCAACTACGACAAGAGCGCCTGTAAGTTCAAAGGCACGTGAAACTAAGCATGGTCATTCATGGAGACAAGGTGTTGATACTGAGCAAGAATGTTGGTTCGCGCTTTCTCAACGGTCGAGTCGCATGCTGGGCTGATCTGCTACTCAGATGATGATGATTCTTGTGTGCCGGTGCTTGTTAAGTACAGTCTTGAGAACTTGTCCCGCCACACCCTCAGACCTCACTGCAGGGAAAAAACACTCGTGCAGATGCCGCTCCAAAAAGCCTGCATCTGTTGAACCAGATACCTTTGAGGTGGCTGGCTCGCTAATCGACGTTGGTGCCTAAGGGTCAGAAAGGCGGGGCGAAGATGTCCAACGTTACGCCAACCCGGGATTCTGGGACGGAGGAGCTTCTGCTGCACTCTGACGAAGGAGTCGGCCCAAATGAGCAGCTTGAAGTCGTGCTGCAGCCTGCGCAAGATGACGAGCACATTGCGTAGACGCGACAACCACACGTTGTTTGGATTTTTTGTAGATCTATCTTCTCGACTGTCTTGGGTACCGCTATGATGTTTCATGGCGTTCTGCCTAGTGCAAGAAACGTTTCTGCAGCAGGGAGCCGAACACAAGATCCTTAATATAGTACCCTAAATAGTAAGACCCTTCTTATAAGGACCCCCCAAATTAGGTACCCCTTATTTCCGGGACCTCCCATTTAGCAAGGAAGCAGTAAACTTCAAAGCTCGATCCTCAAGGGCTTCTGCAGGGATCATCACGGGCCGGTCTTGAAGTCGGGTCTTGCGCCCGAGATGTGCAGCCTGAATCCTCTGCGCCGCTTGGAGCTCTCTATCAGCCGAGGACTCCTTAGAACCCACAGGCTACCTGTAGTCTCCATTGTAGTTCCTTTTTTTGGTTTAACCAACTGTGAGTTAAGGATCCTAAAAGGGCACCCCAAAAAGGAACTACAATGGAAACTATAGCTAGGGCATGGACGGCTGTGTTGGCTTACGGCTTGTAAGAAGTACCATTGGCCTGACTGCCGTATGCCAGTATCCCAGCAGCTGCTTCCTTTCAGACAGCCGTCCCTGCACCGGCTCCTCCATGCTAACTATAAAAAACTATATAAATGAATAAATATGTACATATATATATATACACATATGTGTATATATATATATACACATATCTGTGTGTGTGTGTATTTCTACAAACCCTCCTAGCCGTGGCAAAGACACCATGAACACTGCAGGTTCCACATTGCATCTCGTCATATACAAAAGTTCCTGAAGTCCGCCCTAGCTTCCGCAGCTCCGTAGGACACATACTCCTCCACGGTCATGTCAGCGAACTCCGCAGCCTGGACATCTCCCTGTGACACGGCCTCACAGATCGCCCAGAAGGTTGCCAGCACCATGGATCCACTGAGCTCGCTTTGCTGCAAGTAGCCGAGCCAGAGCTTCTCTGCCTGAAGATAAGCGGCAGGCGGAAGGCAGAGAAAAGAACACAAATGGGCATCAAGATGTTTGTGCAAAAAGAATCTGGTCAGTGTAATTGACCTCAACACCCCAACCCCTCGCTGGCCTGGAGGCTGGACACGCTCTCGCCGCAGGCTCGCGTTAAAGCCTCCACGAAGGACTGCTGGTCTAGGCCGTCCTCACCGGCCACCCGCTGGAACTCCATAGCCCACTCTCGGCGCTGGCCCTTCACGGCTCGGACAACGGCTGCAAAGTCCATTCTCTTGCCCTGATGCCATTGCTGTCTGAGCCGGCGGAGGGAACGCTGGAGTGTCACGGCGCTCTTCTCCAGCAAATCTTTCTTCTGTCTGGCCTGCCTCCCTCGGGCGACTGCCTGAACCTTTGTGGAGGCGGCATTCACGCGCTCCTCGGCCTTTCTCGTCGCATCCTCGATGCGCCTCTTCGAGGCTCGGATGG